CCTCTGTGAGCTAGCAAAAATTTAATGCAACTTGCTAGGCACGTTGGACACCTTACTACTCCCTATACCACCCCAAGGCCGGAGTCCAATGTGTTCCAGCAAAAATAGTGCACATCTTTATTAAATTTGGTGCATCCTGCTAGTTCGGTATATAGCCTGGCAGCCATTGATTCTTATGATATATGCTGCTAGTTCAGTACACAGCCTGTGTAGATTCAATATTTTGAATCCAAATAATGTATGATTTCCTTCCTTTCAAATCAAGGGGGCAATGTCAGCGTATATAAACTTTTTGGGGGGTAAAAGGTAAAAAAGTTCCCTGACCCCAGCCTTACGCTATGCACTGTGTGAGATTTTATTCTGTACTTAGTAATGGCTGTTTAAGCTTTCATGGAACAAAATAATGCTCTTCCTTTTGGGTTGGAAGGAGTTCTATACAGTTGCCCATTATGACTGGATGTGGTGCACTGATATGGCTTTTACACTCAGTGGCTTCTGCTTGTCATTTAATCCTTACAGAGATACTGTAATTTTGAAACAGTGAAAGGATATCCTTTGTGTGTAATGACAAACATGACTCCATAATTTAAATTGGGGAAGGATCACAAAAAACAACATAGTGGGATTCTCTCAGAACATGAGAAAATAAAACATATATGTCAGCAGCACCTTCAGTGAGTTTAAATCCCAGTTACTGAACTAGAATCTTCTTAGTCCAAGAGGTCTGAAGATGAAGGGGGTTGGAACACTCTTTTCAGATGCCTAGAAATGTTTTAGCCAGAACTCGACATTTTTTTTTCCTCCAGGAGTCTTAAATGAGAGTTCTGTGCAACTCAAGGGTTTACTCTAAAAACAAAAGTGATATTAAACATGAACTTACTGGCAAAAACATACATTTGCATACTAGAGTCTGGCCATTACTTCATTTGTTCCCAATTCTTAAGCGTTCATGAAACAGAATACTGCAAGTTCCAACCCATAGGCACACACCTGTATTTCACTCACTTGGAACAAGGCCTGTCTTGCAGACTGCTTGACTATTTTGGGCCTACTTAGGCCTAGTGTTATTACTGTACAAAAAAGAAAGAAGCTGCCCCAGTGCTTCATGGGAAGTGTAGTTCTTTGGAGAAGCCCGTTAATAGAGCCGAATGGACAGTGAGACTGCACCTTTCCATGAAGCCTTGTAGGAAACATCTGGGCAGTTTAGTTCAACAATAGGCTTGAAATAGCCAAGCAGCCTGGAAGATAAGCCCTGTTCTCTCTCTCTCTCTGTGCGTGTGTGCGTGTGTGCTGGAATTCCCAGAATTCTACCCGAAGAATTCTTAGAACCAGAGAATAATTGAGCTGGAAGGGGGCCATTGAGTCCAAGAGTTCAAAAAACCAACAGCAACACTACACCTTATTTGTTATATGTGCCCCACAGAGTATCTTGGGCAGACATGTACCTTTCAACACAAAAATTATTACTTGGATTAGGCAGGTGAAGGCTAAATGGTCTGACTTGTCTAGATTATTTTCCTGCAGGGTATCCTTACTAAATACTGAAATCGGTATGTTGCTGACTAATTTAATTGCCTGCCCAGCTCTGATATCTTACAAAGAGGGTTGAACGTCTTGGCTCATTTTTCAGAAAAGAGCTCCCCTGTGTTTTCTGTGGGAGGGACAACAAGCCCAGCAATTCACTGGAGTGGAAGGCCCAGTCTGTACAAGGCATCTCAGGCTAAAATACGATGTGGGAATACATTGGGATAATCCTAGGCATCCTGCCCTGAAGTCTTTGGTGGATGGATAGGATACAAATACAATAAATAAAACTAGTTAAGTGAAAGGCTAGTCAACCCCTCCATGGCAGCTGCTTTCATACACCTAGTTCGTGCAACTATTCAGCAATCAAGCCTATTCAGAAACAATTTTGGTGCTTTTGTGGTTCCCCGGAGAGGTTCGACTGCGGGGACTGCTTCTTTGACAATAGAATCATTGTTGCTGACGGCAGCAGTGGCAGAGGTCAGAGCACAGGCTCAGCGTGTGACTGCCAGAAGAGTAGGATTTTAATGGGAAGTCTCGGGTGTTAATGCAACAGCTCAGGCAGATGTCCCTTTGTATTTGCTGGCTTCCTAAGAGAAGCTGCTTTACTGAGATGAACCCATTCCATTAAACCATGGGCAAAAGGTCTAGCCTTTGGTTGATTGGTAGTTCTCCCTCCAGCCATTAAAACATACCCCCAGCAACAAAATGGCACACACCTTTTCCTAACCCTGCTTATTCAATCAAGTACATCAGGAGGGCTGGAAGTCACTTCTGGTGAAACATTAGGATGACTGTTCTGATGATGAACTCTTAGAATACACCGGGGCATGGAGGTTATTACATTTATTCCTTCTCTGGTTTTTAGGAGCATTTATAATAGCAGAGGCTCCAGTCCATTCCTTCTTAGCTCAAAGAGTCATTTTGCACTTGGCCAGTCCTGGGTTTTCCACAAAATATAAATTCAACAGGAACATTCGTTGCTGTCATGTGCTGCCAATTCATCCTGGACATACGGTAACCCCCATGAATGCGCTATCTCCAACATGTCCTGTATTCAACATCTTGCTCAGCTCTTGCAAACTCAAGCCTGTGGCTTCCTTGAGGTAGTCAACCCATCTTGTATATGACCTTCCTTTTTTTCCTGCTGCCTTCTACTTTTCCCAGCCTTTTTATCTTTCCCAGAGAATCCTACCTTCTCATGATGTGCCCGAACTAGGACAGCTTCAGTTTTAACATTTTTTTGCTTCCAGAGATAGTTCAGGCTTGATTCGATCTAGGACCAACTTACTTGTCTTTCTGACACTCAAGGGTATCTACAAAGCTCTCCTCCAGCAGCACATTTTAAATGAATCCTTTTTTTCCCAGTCAGTATTCTTAACTTTCCACTTTTCACATCCATACATGGTGACTGGGAATAGAAGTGACATCCATACATGGTGACTGGGAATACAAGTGTGGATGATCTTTCTCTTGGTCTCCAGTGACACGTCCTTACACTTGATCTTTTCTAATTCCTTCATTACTGCTCTTCCCGGTCCCAATCTTCTGGTTTCTTGGCTGAGTTTACCTGAAAGCCATTCAGGTTTGCAAACACCTGTGTGTCATTTTTCAATGTACATTACATACCTCAATGTAATAAAACTTATGCAATAGGAGATCTGGCCCTGAAATCATTTTCAAGTGCTGGAGGGTGGGGAAGAAACAAACGTCCAACAATTGAGAGTTAATATAGTCCAGCAGGTGGCAGCATAACCTAAGTAGCCACAAAGAGAGCGTGAGCTAGCTAATAAAGCAATTATTATTCTAGCTATTCCAGAGAGCACAAAAATAAGTAGCACTAAGAGTAGCATGAAGATAGCATGCAAGTCAAGACTAGTAATATAGTATTACATTCTTCCATGACTGGGAGGAAGAGACTCATCTTGCAAATAAAGCCCCCAGGCCTGCAACTTTTCCTCAAACGCTTCCTAACAGGATTATAGTCTACAACAGACCAAGGCCTGCAATGGGTTAGAGGTACAGTATTATAAAAAGAGTAAACATGCAAGAGGAAAGGGTTTTAGTGCAATTTGAAAGATTAGGGGTATATGTGTAGGGCTGTACACACTTAGCTTTGGAAAATGTTTGTGCGTTTGTGTGTGTGCATGCGTGTGCGTGTGCGTGTGCGTGTGCGTGTAATTAAAGCATAAAAATGTCCCTCCGAAATCTATAAGGAGGAAGGAAGTGTTTCTCTCAGCATCCGTGACATCATGTGCTATTGCCAGTCTTTGTTCAATCATAATATGTGTAGCAGTATCAAATGTAATACAGTAAATGTGCCCAGCTGAGGAACAGGATTTTTCCAACCACATAATATTGAGGACGGGTTGCTGGGAAAATGGCCTTTCCTTGCTATGGAGACATTTTGATTATCCACTTGCAGCAGGGACAGGCCAGCAAAACATTTGATTCCCCACTAATGGCAGCACATTTCTTGCTGTTGCTGCTTTCAAGTGGTGATAGGCCTCCTGTGTTTTTTGTTTCTCTCAATTAGGTTGTATTGACTGTGTCCATAGACTCCTTGCTGCTGTCTCCACCGATTATTCATTGCAACTCTACCAATCGCCTCGCATTTAAGATGTTGCGATGGAGCTGGATGGAGCAGGAGTTTATATCTGCAGTCTGAAACCAATACTAGCGTCCAATATCCTGTTAAATGTTTAGGGCCCTCCTGACCAAAGGTTTTATCTGAACTGTTTTCCTGTGTTATATACATACTATTCCCTCGACAGCTCCTGTGAGACAGAATACTAACTCGGTTTTTCAAAGACCCTTTTCTGATCAGGAGCAAACTCTATTTATGCTTTCCAGGGTCTGATGCAGAACAGATTTAATGTGAGTGTAAGCATATTTTATTTTCTCACCAGGGGGCACTCAGAACTTGGAAACTTACCCACTGCAAAATTGCTTCCTTTTCTTTATATGCCAAACATCTAGGCCTTTGGAAAGCCACCGTATACAAGCTTAGAGCCCCAAAGGGACCACCCTTAACTCTTCTCCTCTCTGTTAAAAAATGGCTAAAATTTGAAAAATTGCTCTGTACTCCCCCTTTAGTACAAGGCAAAGGGAATACAGGGTTTCTCTGGGATGAGCAGAGTTTGGCCTCTTGTTTCTGAAGGCATAACCTGTCAAGTATCAAGGAGAGTTAATTACCTTAACCATGGATCTTCAGTGAAACAAAATACTCACTTCTAAGGATACAGATCTAACTTGGGGACCACCAGCTGAAATTCTATTGCTTAGTGTAGTAAGTCACACTAGAGTAGGCCCATTGAATCAGTGGGGATTTGGTGAATTAACACTTCAGTAAATTCTATTGATTCAAATGGGCTGACTCTAGTTGCCATTTACTTTAGCATAGTGTTTCAACAAGAGTAGACCCATTTGAATGAATTGAACTTACAGAGGAGTTAACTCACCAAACCTCCAGTAATTCAGATCTGTGATACTTGTGTGTGCGTGTATCTGTGCGCACTCTTACAACAAATCCTGGAACACCATCTTTTTGGAGGAGAGACTGAGAGTAATAGGAACTACTCTTATTCTGTGCTGCATTTAAGTTCATAGTCACATTTCATCTGCAGCAGTACTGACACACTGGAGAGTTAATGGAAGGAATAGAGATACAGGAAGTTTGTGCTTCAAATCTCATGCACCTACCACATACTTATCCTGCTTTGGGATTTTCTAGAGGCATCTGGTTGGCCTCTTTGGAAAACAAAATGTTGGGACCAGACAGATCTTTGGTCTAATTCAATGGGACTCGTCTTATGTTCTTCCTAGTGGTCATCATATAAGTGTAAGTTGTCCTCTTACTGCTTCATATTTTCCACTCCTTTCACATCTGTTACAAGCTATTACATTTAGATTGTTATCAGAATTACTGAGAATGTATAAATTGGCTTGACCGCTTAAGTCAGGGTAGAGATAGTGTTTTGGGGTGCAACTCTTTCCATCCCCCACTGATATTTATGTTGGCTACTCCTGGTGTGAGTTGCTATCCAACAACATCTGAATGGGAAAAAGTTGCCTGTTTCTGAGCTAACTGTTAATACATCGCTTTCCTCAAGTATTATTGCTATATTGACATCAGCATATACAATTATACTTTCGTTTCTGTTGCATGAAGGGCCAGGGATGGGTGGCACTGAGTCAACACCTTCAAGCTGCCACCTCCAGATTCGTCTCTACAGTGGTGAAAAAAAATCACCTGCATTGTGCATGTAATAGAAAGCACCCATTCATGTATGCTTAGTTTACATGTGGAATTCTGCTTTCCAAAACCACATAAAAGCATGATTCCATTAGTAAACAAAGCACATGGGGAGCATGTGCCATGTTTTAAAAGAATATTTAAGAGAAGGTAGCACCATGGCAGCAAATTTAATTACAGGGGGACAACCCCCAGTTGTTTGGGAGGCACCAGTGTGGCCTCCTCATTCAGCACTTTCTAAGTGAGAACTAGGACCTTGAATAGGGCCTAGAAACAAACCGGGAGCAAAATAGTTGGTAGAAGAGCAAAAATGTATATGGTCCAGAAAGCAATGTTTTTGCTGTGATCTGCGGTCTTCGAATGCAGCTCCAGCTTTCCTAGAAGGGTGCAGAACTGGCACACCAGGGAAACCTGGGCAAAAGCACGCCTGCGTAACATTTTTCTGGTGCTCCAGAAATAGGGTGTAACAATGCTAGTATTGGTTTTGTTACATTTCTTTGAGGCCTACGTTCATCTTCTTTCTCTTATTTTCTAATATTTAGTTTGAATCTTTGTTTTTATTCTTCCAGTCCTGACTGAAGGATTATACAACTCGTCACTTTATGACCTAACTTGCCACTTTGCCTATTGTCTGTTTCCTCCCTTGGGCATGGAGGGCTAAGTATAAATGTATCACTCACATCTTCTCACTCCAGTGCCTGATGAAGTGGGCTCAGTCTATGAAATACAGCACTCTTTAAGGTGGCATAAACTTTTTTTTTTGGGGGGGGGTTGTTTTTCTGTTGCAAGTATGATTTCTAATGTTGAACTCTTAATACATAAATACTAGAAAAGAGTCAGAAATCAAAGAACTTTAGCATTCCAGATGTTGCTGAACTACTGTACTACTATCATATCTCACCATTGGCTAGACTGGATGAGGATGACGGAAATGGGAACCCAGCAACATTTGAAGGGCCACCAGTCCTGGCTTTATCTCTGTTTTGGAAAACATTTGGGACACAGCCATTAAAAATGCTGTTCCCAAACTTAAGAGCAGGTAAATGGATTATTTCAGTTTTATAACTCCCCCATTCTGAGAACCTATAACATAACAGGAATTTAAGGTGCAGTTTCAAAGGGAATTGCCTTGAAGTATTCCTTACCATAAGCTTCAGCTTGCATTGCTAGTAGGCTTTTCTGTTTCTCCAATGACTCTCTGCAAAAATATGAGGAAAATCAGTTAGATGATCTGGAAGATGTAAACAGCAAAAAAAAGCCTCTCCATCCCTGGTGAAGAGCATCCTGAATAACGCAGGCTAAGATCTATTTAGTTCTCATAAACTAGTATAGTTTATAGTAAGCCTCACCAGGCTAAGATCTATTTAGTTCTCATAAACAGCAAATGAGATAGTAAGCCTCATTGGAAGATGGCATGCTTAGCGGTTAGTAGGCAGAAGGTACAGCAGCCAATAGTAGCAGAGTCAGGAGTGAGAGCCTACTGGGACCTCCTGCTGCTTCCTTCTCCTCTCTCGTGCAAAAACTCACACAAAGTGTGAGCCTAGATGTTGAGCACAAGGGGAACACAGGTGGGGCAGCAACCCATCTATCCTAATGGATCAGGCATCAGTGGTAAGCCAATGGCTATGTAAGTGTCCACCAGCAGTCACTTTAGATGCTTGCCTGTTAAAACAAAACAAAAAAAGATGTGTCAGGAAAAGGGACCTAGCCTAACCTTTCTTTGTTATGAAGTTTTTGTCTCACTGCACACAGGAACGCTGAGTCAAACAATGTTTATGTCTTATCTATTTATTTAAAACATTTATAAAGGTTAGGATAGCTCCCTTTTTTCTGATACATCTTTCCCTAACAGGAAAGAGTCCAAGATGGGTGGGAGTTTATTAAAAAGGAAATTCTAAAAGCACAATGACAACCAATTCCAACAAAGAAAAATGGTGGGAAATGGGGTGTGGGGGTGTGAAGAGAGACCAATGTAGCTTCACATAAAGCTCAGAAAGGACTTAAAAATAATAATAAAAAAGGACACACATAGGAAGTGGAAGGAAAGTCAGGTCACAAAAGAAGAATACAGAGAAGGAGCAAAGAATTGCAGGGATGGCCTTTGGAAGGCAAAAGCTGAGAATGAGCTGAGGCTAGCAAGAGATGCTAAAAGCAACAAAAAGGCAGTCTTTTCTTGTTATTTGTAAGATTTTTAATCAGAGGAGCTTATTTCCTTTATACGATTCTAAATAGAAGCCACTCCTCTGTGCAAATGGTATGAACAAGGCTTGCAAAATTGACTTGTTCACTTGTCTGTGATGAGTGAAAAACCGCTGCTTGACAAGCCACCGCTCCCTCCATCCGTCCCTTCCTTGCCTCCTTACCCTCAGTCCCCCCCTCTCTGATCCTGCAGTCCTCCCCTCCCCCTTCCCATTGCAAAAGGAAAAACGGTCCTCTTCTCAGGAGAAGAGAGTTCGAGCAGCACATAGATATATAGCTCTGCAGAAGAATGTAGAGTAGTCCCATGTTGGGGAATTTCAACTGAACGACCTGCCTCCTTAAGAGGCCGGGCACTTTTGCTTTCAGTTTTATTTTTACTGGAGACATTCAAAAGAAAGGCATTAAAAATACAACCTTCATGGACCCTCAGGCACGCAGGTAACAAAGCAACCCGAGTCTGAGGTTATATTTATTTTGGGTTTGTGCACACTGTTATGTAGAAAGTGCCAAGTTTAAATTTTAATTTAAGTTTCAACATAAATTGTAAGGCTATAGTCTGGTCATGCTGACTGGTGAAATTTTTGACTGGTGAGACATTCTAAAATTTTTCAAGCCCTGGGTATGAAAGCTTCCATGTGCTTTTAGAGAGGAGAAATACATGCATAATTGTTTCACCCTATGTTGGGCTGTTGTCCGTCATTCTCATGAATGATCTAGGAGTTAAACAGTTATACTGCATTTTCCAAGGACAGGAAAAATCCAAGACTTGCACTGTGAGCTGTGCACCAGATGATTAATTAATCCATAGTTTTAAAGCTTGAGAACAAAACAAATTGCCTGGACGTAGCACCTGCAGCAATGGCTCCATTACTGCAGAGAGAACGGAGCCGTTTCAGTGTGGCGAGAAATAAACATGCACCAGCAAATTATCTGCCAGTTCCAAACAAGCTCTGTAGTATAGTTGGGAATGGCAGTGAGCGTAATTGGGTTTGTTTCCCTAGAGAATAAAGCAGGAGCCAGGATGGAAACGGAGCCAAACCAGGCTGCAGAGTGAGTTAAGGAAAGAGTGCAGGATAGGTTAACATTGGGAAAGGCAAAAGAAGAAAGACACTTAGAAGCACAGCATAGGACCAGGAGAGAGAGAGACATCAGCCTGTTGGAAAAGAGACAAAATCCAAGCAGATACAGAACGTCTACTGTGGGAGAAAAAAGACTGGGAAAATTCCACTGGAGCCTTCGAGGATTAGAATGAAAGGGAGCCAAATTGTTAGCGATTTGTTCAGCAACTAAGTCAACTAATTACCACAGCCAGTTCCCCCCTCCCTCCCATGTAGACCAGAGGTGGGCACATCATGGCCCTATGCTGTATATATGTATGCAGATCCTAAGGCCATTTCTGAGGCCGTTGTGAGGTTCCTGCAGCACAAAAACAAAAAATCGTGTTTTTTTTAAAAAAGAAAAAGTGGGTTTCCTGTTCCCTGAGGGCTGCAGGAGAAGTGTTTCATTCTAAACACGTCAAATTATTCCCCAAGCTAAAAATTAAACAACAACCCAGAAGTGGCTGCCTTGGTCCTTCTGGGTCCGGTTTGTTTATATTTTGGAGGCAGTTCTGGGTCTGATGCAGCCTGTGAGAATCTGGAATCTGGCCCCCATGCCTGCTAAAATTGCCCACTTGTGATGAAAACAATATGCTACGGGTGGGTAATGTGTGGTTCTCCAAACGTTGTCGCACTCCAAAACCTATTAATATGGCCAGTAATCCGAGATCATGGCAATTAAACAATTTCTGGAGAAACACGTTTCCTTCCCTGCAATATACCTTCACCTATGGCAGCAACAGTGTACAGTGGGGTCTTGACTTGAGAACTTAATCCGTATTGGAAGGCGGTTCTCAAGTCAAAAAGTTCTCAGGTCAAATCTGCATTTCCCATAGGAATGCATTGAAAACCATTTGATCTGTATCTGCTCTTTTCCGTCCATAGAAACTAATGGGAAGCTGCTATTCCACCTTCGACCACTAGAGGGGGATATTTTGTTTCTTTTTTTCTTAGGTCAAGAAAGGTTCAGGGAAGGCAGGGAAAATACAGTCCAGGCAGTACCAGGCAGTCTGAAGACTGTCTCCCAATCCACTCTCTAAACGCTGGGAGGAGTGAGGAAGCAGACAGGCACCCTTTTCACTGGCCAACAGTTAACTGAAAGTTCACATTTTGCACTTTCCCTGCCTCCCACGTGGTTTTTTTTCAGTTCTTAACTCAAATCTAAGTATGTAAGTCAAGTCAATATTTTCCTATGAGAGCGGTTCTTAACTCAAAATGTTCTTAACTCAAGCCGTTCTTAAGTCAAGACCCCACTGTAGAGACAGACATGATGCAGCTGTTCGAATCCCCTTTCCTCATCCCATTTAGTTTAGTGTGACATGTGATGTGATTTCATATTAAGTCCATACTTAAAAAAATGCTTACCTGGAGCCCCTCTGTTGCACCCCAGGTGGGAGGCTCAGGCTGCTGGGCAGCCTCCATAGGCATTCCAACACTAGGATGCTATCAGGATCTGTATACGCTGGTGTCAGCATAGCATGGCTGCTTCCCTAGCCCCCACACCCTCCCTTTTCTAAATCACTGGTTTGTATGTATACAATTGTATCAGTTTTGTTCATGGATGTTTTGCCTGTTATAATGTTCACCACAACTTTATGGGCAGTGGTGAACACTGGGATGGATCTGGTGAATGGGACAGGCAAGGGCAGAGGTGCTCGAGTTGTGGAATCCCCTTAAGGGTGCAGGGGTGAAGCTTAGCTTGGAAGGCAGCAGCCCAGTCTCGCCTACAAATGACAAGGAGCCACAAAATGGCTGTGCACCCAAGTGGGCTCCAGTGGTCCATTGTTCCTGGTTAAATTCCATATCTGGTGGAGTGGGAAGTACTGGGCAAACACTGCATCTCCCAATGCTCCACATTCAACTCCATTACGGCACCAGTGATGCTACTGCAGTAACCAATATAGTAGTGGTTTTTTCCTCTCCAGTAACTGTGTGCAGCTGTGTTATTTTCCCCTAAAGGCTGGGGCCTGCTTAATCTTAGCAACAGAAATCTCACTGATTCAATGCATCAATTTTAGTTGGAATTACCAAGCAGATTTAGATGTATGTTTCCATGTTCTTCTGTGAGGCAGACTTTAATCTGTTTGTAAGCTAGCTTTGGGAGAAAGCGTGCATCTAAGTCATACAAATAACTAGGCACAATAAATGGCAGCTAAGCATTGCACAAGGCAGTGGCATCATGTCACACATGTTAAACTATTGTATAGGAAAGAAACAAAGACTGTTGGCCACTTGGTGTTTCTTATTTTGCTTTTAAAAATGGTGTCAAGAAGTGACTCATTAATGACAAATGGTGATTAGTTTCTCAAAGACAATGGGATGGCACGATGAAAAGACAGGAAGGACAGAAAGTGTAGCAAACACAAAAAGCATGAATCTCTCTAGGACTGAATGGATTCCACCAGAATGTGTACAACATGCAGTCTGTGTGCCACATGTAGCCTCCAAGTGCTTTTTTGCAGACCCCAAGATCATCCCAGAGCTTCCTCATTTTAAAAAGTGCTTATTTATTTTGCAAAACAATCCCTGTTTCTTCTCCCGAAGGCCTCCGGGAACAGCAGGTTTTGCATTAGGGGTTTGGGGATGGAGTGTTCTGTTGCTGTTATGTGTGGTCAAGTTATGGAGCCCTTAAAAGTGTTTTCAGGTGGGGTGGATTTGATTTAAATTGATTTTAATAACAATTAACATTTTAAAAATCCAATTTTTAGATGATTTAAATTAAAAATGATTTTTTTAAAAAAATAAAATTTAAAAGAATTGTTGATTTTTATCCACCCTTTACTCAGGACATGAGAGATATTTATGGAGTGGTTTTACCACTTCCATTCTCCACGGCTGAATGCAGTCTTGTACTTTAGCCACTATAATACACTGGCTCCTGGAGTGTTCTGTAAGCACCTCTAAATTAAAAAAGAAAAACACCCTAAGCAGCCTTTTCCAGACCACAGTGGAGACTGGAGACTGAGAACAAGAATTTATCCCCAACCTCTTCACCCTAGTTTGCCTACGCCAGCCTGTATCCTAATTACTCAATTCAATTTAATGTGAATCCACTTGAGAAGAATGTAGATCCAAATGCCATCACTGGTAAAGAAATGGCTATTTTCTCCCAATAACTATATATACAGTATATGCTTTCTTCTAGAAGAGTAAATGTGGGCAGCTTTAACCATGCTGGTTATATAGGAAGGTAGTAAAAGGCACCTTATTGACAAATCTCCATGAAATAAAACGAATGATGAAGAACTTGAGAACTGAGAAAAGGTACTTCTTAATCTCTGCTTTGTTGTTGTTGTTTAAAGCAGATTCTTGGCTCTTATGGGAGTAAAGACAGGCTTATAAGTGCATGGGGAAATGTTAGATAAAGCAAAAGCAGTAGTTAATGGGGGTAAAAGTAGGCATTTGCTGACAGATCTTGATTTCAACCAAATAGCTAGAAATCAGTGAAGTGAGGGGTAATTGCAGCAGCACAATCTGGTTAATGCATAAACCTTCCCTTCTTGGCTGCTGCTGTTCCCTGTGATCCTCTCCCTCTATCGATAGCTCCCCTAAAAACAGATCATCGGAAAGGTGTTTGCAGTGTCTTGGGAGAAAACCCCTGGTTTGGGCAAGTGGGAAGAAGAAAAGAAGTAAGCAGAGGGTGGGTTAAGCATTTTCACTGGTTGTACCTCTGCAGCTGTTTAGCAGAGACCTAATTCTGGCCTAACATTCTCAGCGGTGAGGTGGTAGGACCCTGTAGCCTGCTTGTCACTCACTACCTATATTTAGCAAAACTTGAGAAAACTCACACATGAAAAAGCAAGCATAATGTTCTCTTTAAAAAAAAGAAAAGAAAAAAGCACAAAATGCGCATAAGACTTGGCTGGAAACTGAAAGCTGGCTGAAGGACTTGAAGATCATTATCTTGCCTTATTGGCTCCTTTACTGCAACCTGATTGAGGAATGTGATCACTGCCACATTTCCAAGTCACGACAAATAGCCTTTCCACTCTATTCCATTCTATTTGAAGCTCCTCGGGATTAGTACTGTGTCCAGTTCTGGAGTGTACACTTCGAGGAGGATAGGAGGCAAAGCGGGATGAGCTCAGAGGAGACCAACCAAGATGTTGAAGTCAGGGGTACGGAAAGCAATGCAGACAGGCTGAAGGAACTTGCATGTTCAGCCTGGAAAGGAGGAGACACAACACCACTCTTCAAATATCTGAACAGCTGATACATAGAAGAGAGCAAAGATTCGGTCTCTGATGATCCAAACCAGCGGTCCCAAAGAAGCGGACTGGCTGAGCCTCTGACGGAAGTGGGGCACATTCACCACCATGCTTGTGCATGCGCGCACTCTTAGGTACTTGCACAAAGTGGTGTGGGACCGCCCGTGCCAGCGTGAGCACTCACTCCCCCACCCCTTCGTGCATGCACAGGACCGCCTGCACGCCTGCCTGCGCACCCGCCCACCCCTTCGCGTGGGTGCTTGGGCGCATGCGTGAAGGGGTGGGGGAGCGCTCACACTGGCATGCCTGTGTGCAAAGCAGCTGTGGGGAGGGGACTGTGTGCGTGGGGCGGGGCGGGAGGTCTGTCTCTGCGGCCCAGTCCAGCTCAGGCTGCGGACCAGGGGTTGACAGCCTCTGATCCAAAGGATAGGACAAGGTCAAAGGGACTTCAGTTACAAGAGGGTGGATTCTGTCTGAGTGTTAGAACTATAATGAGTCAACAATTTGACCACGGAATCAGTTCAGAGTTTGGAAATACAACTCCCAGAATCTCCCAGCATGGCCACTGATCATGTTGACTGTGGAACAGTAATCCAAAAAGGTAACTTTTCCAAGCTACAAACCAGTTACATGGGCCTTTCCCTTGCTACCACTCTTCAGGAAGAAACTGGACCGTCAGGCATTCGGAATGGCCTATTTCTGGATTTTCTACAGAGTTAGTGGATTTGCTTCCATGGCTTCTAAAGACGCCTACAACTTCATGATTCTGTGTTCTATACAATGTTCAGCTTATTAGAATTAGCCATAGATCTGCAGAATGAGAAGAGTATTTCCTCTGGAGGAGAAACAGACCTGTGAGCAAGAAGTAGTCAGAAAATATATGTTACAAAGTAAAGGAATTTGGGGGGCGGGGCGGTGTAAACTCTATGTGGCCTCCAAATATTAACTGGAAAGGAAACACCCAAGTAGCACAAAGATAGACTAAAAAGGGAATGTACTGAAGAATGATTAGGAATTGAAACCATGATAGAGCTCAATGTGTACTCACACAGGTTGTGAGAGTAAAAATTCAGATTTGCATTCATTCTCTTTTATTCAAAATTTCTTCCTTTTCAGAACAGTGTTTTTTTTAAATAATGAGCTCATAAATGTCTTCCCTGTCCAGAACTGTTTACAGTGGGGTCTTGACTTGAGAACTTAATCTGTATTGGAAGGCGGTTCTCAAGTCAAAAAGTCTGTAAGTCAAGTCTCCATTGACCTACAGTGCATTGAAAACCGATTAATCCCGTAACAGGCCGTTTTTGTTCCATTTTGGTTTTTTCTGGTCTGTAAGTCAAATCTCAGTCTGCAAGTCAAGCCTAAATTTTGCAGCCAGAGAAGTCAGTAACTCAAAAAGTCTGTAAGTCAAGCCGTCTGTAAGTCAAGGGTCCACTGTATAGCCAACAAATCCAGCCCACCAGTGATTCATGAGAGAAATAGACACTTGCAGCTCCATGAAGGTGAATAAATTCTCACTAGTACCTTCTCTTAAGAGTCAAGTCTTCTCTCCTCAGCTTAAAATCTATATCTTCCAAGGCCTCTCTGCAGTGGAGCAACTTGTCTTCCAGGTGATCTACCTAAAACACACAAAAGACCATCATGAACAATAGGAATCTTCATCCAGGTCTTCAAAATCTCAGTCTCAGCAAACAAGAGAATTTGACTCAAAATGTATGTTTCACCTCCCCCAATTTCCAGCAGAAAGAACAGCTGCCATTTTTAACTACCTCCAAGCACTTTAAACAAAACAGAGACTGCTTCTTGTTTAGAATCTGGCAGCTTTAAGACAAAGGGGGAAAGGGTCTAATTAAGACAGACCAGTCAATGGAAGCCTCATAGCCATATCCTGTCCCCTGAAAAATGCCGGTCCACGCACATCCAATACCACATTACCAATCCAGGAGCAAAAGAAGTACAGTATATGAAGTGAATGACTGCCATAACAATTAAAAATGCCGGCTGCCCAATTTGAGGATACAAAGAGATCCTACCTCACAGCTCTCCATCCCTTACTCAACATGGGCTTTCAGTAAAACTGGTTGCTGACCAGGGCTTTAGACAACTGTTACACATGCCAAGTGACTCTCCACAGAAAACATGGCAGGAGCAGCAACAAGGTGTAGTTGATTCCTAAGCGACAGGACAAGGTTGCTCTGAGGCAGGTCTCTACTGCCACCCACCATAGATGTATTGATACCAGCAGCTCCCTTTAGTAAAACATTTCACAAATTGCTGCCCGAAGGGGCAAGTTTTCCAAGACAGAAGTACAATTTTGATACCCAATTTCCAATAAAAATTACCCTAAGGTTGGCATTAAAATGCCATCTATAATTTTAGAGTCTTAAACTATGGTCTGTTGAGAATTGCAAAAAAAAACAAAAAACCTAAACAAAACACCCCATCTTGGTTAAAAAGAAGGCCAAATCCACCATGGGGAGACTGGTGCAAAAAGAAGGCTTACACAAACATATTGCTGATGTGGATGAATATAGGTTCTGGACTGTGGCAATTCTCAAAGCCTCACTGAACTGCATGTCTGTATCTTATGCTGGAGGATATGTGTTCCCATTTGTGGACCACTTGTTAATGATGGATAAAGATAGCAGGATCAGAACAAGAATCTTCATTTGCTGACAGTAAAGTGGCTAGGAAGCAAACTCCTTCTCCGTGTATTTGCAGCATACATGTATAGTCCATGCACTAGCAGCAAACTAAATAGGTAGCAGTGCATTTCATGTATGTGTGTCCATGTTTTTTCCTGCAAAATCATTTAATGCCTCCCATCTGAATTTCGGAAGTTTTACCATGGCGTATATTGTATGAAAACAAGGGGAAACTGACAGTAGTGTCGATTATTTAAAGAAAATGCAGTTGGCAAAAATCTTTAGATGCAGATGTACAGCTCCATGCACTTTCCCAAGAAATACAACATCATCTCTACTATCTGTGCCACTATTTTACTTCCTTACGCAGTCACACCCGCTCCCAAAAGTCAACCCCAGGTGGAACAGGGAAAATTAACTTGGGCAATTCCAGTTCCCAAGCAGATACTTCGAACTGCTGTGATCATCTTTATATTCAGTTTAAATTGCAGCAGGAAGCAATTGCTGGATGCTCAAGATAGTCATCTAATTAGCCTGCTAATTTATTTTCCAGTAAAGCAGAGAGACAAGAGAGAGAAAGAGAGGAACAGCTGAAGCACAAGAGCAAGGGTGACCAAGGACTTTGAGTATGAGAAGAACCCCTTATAGCTGAGCTGGCACCCTAGGAAAAATGTGCCAGGAAATCTGGCTCATTCTAAGCCCAGAGGAAATCTTTTCTCTTGCAATCCTATGAGAAGAGTGTCAGAAAAGTGGATCTATTTGTTATTTCATACAAACAATATATTTGCTCAACAGAAGAAACATCTTTAAACTGCTAGAACACTGAGCTATATAGCCCAGCATCCCCCTAGTCTACACTGGGAAAGTCACTTTTGAGGATGATGAGAGAGAGGGGGGGGAATATATATTTCCAGATATATATTTCTGGATATAAATATATATTTCCATATATATATTGAGAAATATATGTTTCTCAAGCTCTGTTCAAAATAGCATCAAGTCTACAAGGTCTCCAGCAGAGTTATCTCCCAACCCAGTGACCTAAAATCCTTTAATTGGAGCTGCTAGGACCATCTGCATGCAAAACAAGTTATCTACTATTGAGTTACAGCCACTTCCCTTGCAGATGAATTGGACTGGGAGCTTATAGATTGACAAGCTAATGAAAAAGGTTTATAAATCAGTGGAACCTTTCCTTGTTCCTTTTCCACTGCATGCCATGTTGTGCTAAAGAAGTAAGAAACTAGGCTGAGAAAGGCCATGCACCCTTTCATATCAGATTGCCATTATTAGCCTAGAGATGCATCCAACCCAGAGAACCAGGAGACTCCCTCACCCCACCCCTCTGCACCCAAGACCATTTCTTGTTACCCCATCTTGGGAGAAGGGGAGGGAAAGACATAGAAAGGAAGACTACCTTTCCAACAATTACACTGGGAAATCAATTCTACTGATCCCCTGATTAACCACTTTATGGCTTAATTTTGAACTAATTAGCCATTTTCATGCTCTGCTCAAGAAAAGGAAAACCAGCTGCAGGCAGTACACAAGCAGTAACAATTAGGATATAAGGAATCCATTCATGACAGCAAAAGCCAGCTGATAGGGGGGAAACTCCACTAGCTGACTTCACACACCTATTCTGCCTTATAGGTATAACTTTGCCCCTTTGAAATGTGCTATGAAATGATTATCAGTATTTCAGAGTAGCTCTCAGAGACTGAAAAAGTTCTTTCTTGGGAACATGAACAAGACTTCATGCTTCACTGCCATCCTTTAACTTCAACCTAGAGCAGAGAGGCAAAGCTTTGGCTTTTTGTTTTGTTCCCATCCAACAAGCACAACCCTAAAACCAACCACCAGCTTCTGTCCATGTTTGGCGCCAGCACGGAGATAGAGAACAGGGACGGATCTACTATCAGGTTTAATGAGCCAGCTGCAAGAGCTTTGTGGCACAGTGGTTAACTGTGCTGTACTGCAGCCTAAACTCTGCTCAGGAACTCACCCGGGATTCAGTCGTAGGTAGCTGGCTCAAGGTTGACTCGGTCTTCTATCCTTCCATGGTCAGTAAAATGAGTACCCAGCTCGCTGGGGAGGCAATGTGCAGCCTGCATAATTAATTTGTAAACTGCCCAGAGAGTGCTTGAAGTGCTACGAGGAGGTATATAAGCAGCACACTTTGCTATTTGCTTTTGCAACAGGTGCACAGCAAGAGGAAGGAGAAAGATATTAGCATACAAAATTGTGCGTGCTAGGTGGCTTCTTTTACATCCCACATGCTGGTCTGGTGCACTGGATTGTTTATATATTATAACTCCTAGACTCCTGTTGCTGGTGTGTGTAGGTGGTTGGAGAGTGTCCATCTCTCTGTCATTTGCAGGCCATCTTTCTCTCAACAATTAACTTTTCTATCAAAACCACCCATTGATTATAAATTTGGTTATTAAAGGAGAGTGCATCCTTTAACATGTCCATCCAGCAAAGACAACAAACCACCCCCAAGGTTAAGCAACACCAAAAGCATCCGGACTGAATTTTGGGTTATAGACTTTCATCTGGTCCAGCTCCAGAAACTCAGAGCTTGCTTCACTGCCAGGTTTCATAAACTCTAGGACATTTGCAAACATTGCACGGTCCTGGCATTAGATATAGCAAAAGGGGAATACTGGGAGCCACCACTTTATGCATTATCCTCCAATTGTCACTTGGGATTTGAGATGTGTGAGCTAACTTGGGGATAACTTTGCAACATTAATGTTTATACTACTTACAGTTGTACAGGCGCATGAATTGTGGCATATGCAAAGTTTTTATGCTCTTCACAGCACTGCTACACAAGAAAGCCTCGCCCACACACACCTAGGTCTGCACAGTTGTGAGAGGTACACCACCCTTTGGGCTGAAAGCTTGGTCATCCTCGAGTATGTCACACTACAGTAGCTCTCTTGCAGTAGATAAAGCAGCAATGAGGAATAAAGAGAAGGAGATGGGGGGAAACGGGGCAGACAGAGAGTAAGAGAAATACTGTAGTTAGGGAGGAATACAATAGTCAGAACAGTCTGGCAAGCATTTTTCTTTATTCTCAGAGCTGCTGTGGGAACTTCCCAGGGGCCTCATGCTGGTACAAAAACCACAGACTTTGAGAATCCAGAAGGCTTCCACTGAATCCTCAGAGGCAACTCTCCACAGAGTCCTGAACCCTTCTGTAGATGGAAATCGTTTTCTCCAGGAAGGCTTAGAAAAGACAGGCTAGAGCAGAGTGCTGTGAAACGAGGGGGGCGGGGAAGCTGGACAAGGAAGAAAATAATGATACTGTATATTGTTCTAACAAAATTCATTTATTTATTGGGTGCCAAAGAATGGTGCTGAAGGCAGCTAGCAATGATAAAAGCAGTAAGAAAGGTACAATCCAAACATAAAACAAATTAAAAACACATCAATAAAATAAAGTGCAGCAAACATTCAGTAAAACCTCTTCTGCAGCAACCCTAATAGCTAAAAGCCTACGTGGATTTAAAAGGGTCTTCTTGACTGCTGACTAAAAGATAACAGGGAAGGCCCCAGCCCATCCTGGCTTGGTAGGGAATTCCACAACCACAGAGAAAATTCTTTCTCACAGACCTACCTAATGTGCTGCTGAGGGTGGCAGGACCGAGAGGAAGGATCTCCCTGCACATCTGGGTGACTAGGCAGGTGGGAGATAGGGGAGCCAGCAGCCAAGGACTGAAGTGTCCCAAACCAACCATAGGCCACCTTGAGTCCTTTTAAAGAAAAGGGCAGGGAATCAATTGATAGATCAGTTCTACTCGGTTCAGTGGGGACTTAGTCCCAGGTAAACGAGCACAGGGTTTCAGCACTGATGTGGGGACTGATTTCCCCATGTACCTTTGCAACTCACGGGAGATCCTCACAACTTGCAAAGGCAGTGTTGCACCTCTCAGAGGCACAAAGAAATGGCAGGGGAAGAGCATGAA